CTGGTCCTGCCTGGGAAATGAAAATATAAACAGAAATTATGGCTTAAATCCAGTCATAGAGATGACATGAAGATAAAGTTTAATCACTGCTTTCCCTACTCAGCTGATGGACAGGTGCATGAGTTCCAGTGTGGAGATCTGCAAGAAATTGGTGAAGAGGAAGGAGAGAGGGAGATGGGTATCCTGAGTGCCACCACTGCAGGAAGCCTCCAGGGGCATGAAAGCAGGGCAATAACTTCATAGGACAACTCTCCACTCAGAAAAAGTGAGACTTGTAGGAACTGAGCCGGTACCCATGAGGACCGGCCCTGGAGGTGCAGCTCTGCCTGTCACAGCTGTGCCAGGACCTCTGGGCTCCTCCCCTGGGTTGTGCTTTTTCTCTTGGGAAGAGGTGAGTCCCACAGACAAGGAGGATATCCCCATTCTGGACTTGCCACCTCCTGAGTCCTCCACTTTCCTCTGGAGATCCACCCCAGGCTCTCCTGTGCGCATTCTCCATCTGTTTCCCACAGATCCAGTGGAGATTGGAGTCATTCGTGCCCCAAGACATGTGATCAGACCAAGAGGACAGCAAATGACACTGAGATGGTCCCCTACATCTGGGGATCTCAAGGTGTCCTGGTACTGACAGGCCCTGGGTATTTTCAAAATGTGCATAGAGAAAAAGGCAATGTCTCTGATGGATTCTCAGCTCAGTTCCACGATTCTGTCTCTGAACTTAGTGTGAGGGCTTTGCAGCCAGGGGATTTGGCTGTGTATCTCTTACCAGCAGCAGGCACAGCTCTGCACAGAACCCAGAGTTCTGTGCACAAACCTCCTGCCTTGGCTCTGGCAGGTAGAACATGTGACCTTCTGGTCAGGCTTTGGTCCTTCAAGAGAAGTTTTTATCTCTTTCAAACTCACTTCCATGTCCTTCCTGCTTAGTGTGCTCTCAGCCAACAAAGAAGCCCAAGTTCATGCATGTGCACCAAATGTTTCCACTTCTCTACCAGCGTTTTCTTGTGGATTGTCGAGTTTTGGTTAACTTCATCAGAAAACAGAGAGTCCTTAATGTGTTAGACTCTTTGTACACGTCGGATGCTTTAATGCATTGCAATAATCATCCCAATCAAATATACTTATTCCCCCTTTACAGATGAAAAAGCTCAGGGGCAATAAGTCACTTACCCAACGGCTCATGGCTTATAAGAATCAGAATTGGAAGACACATGTCTCTGTATTGGTAAACCTGTCTCTCTTCAGTCACCACACTCTGCACCCCTGCCAGTGAGAAAGACCCTAGCCCTGGAGCAGTAGAAAAGGCAGACACCATCATGGGTCATTACTGTGGCTCTTTCTGAGGAAATCTGAGGAGAAAGACTGACGTATAGCATCTCACTCTGAAATCATTTTAATCACTTTAGAATCATTTTTGACATAGTCATGGTTTCTCCCATTGTGTAGTTTATAACTTTATCTTTTATGTGTGATTTGATGTACAACAGTTTAAAGCAACTGAACTTCGTTTTACTTAGTGCCTCTATGAAATAAGATCATCCCTCAAGCAAGTGCATAAACATATTTTCCTTAAAATATTCTTGTATTATTTAAATTTTACCTTTTAGAATTAAGAATATATCTGCCTAAAATATATTTTCATTTAAGAAATAAAGACTTGAAAAATGAGGGAGGGATATGTATTTAACATAGTTGAAATAGCTTTTTAAAAATGAAGTCCCTGAAATAGAAAACCTTTAGATTCTGGTGGCAAAGGTAGATGAAGAGAAAATAATACAGTCTTTTATAGGGCCTTTCTCTACAAAGATCATATGGTTGATAATTCTGATTGCAAGTTGAAGAGTAGTATTTGTTAGTCACCTTTCCATTGCTGGAACAAACTATCTGACACACACAACTTAAAGGAGGAAATGTTTAATTTTTCTCAGGGATTCAGAGGTTTCAGTCCATGGTGGGCTGGTTCTATTGCTGTAAGACATGATTGTGGAAGGATGTGATAGAAATGCTGCTCACCTCCTGACAATAGGAAGCAGAGAAAGAGAAAGAGCACCAGAACAGATATACACTTCAAGGACACACCCCAGGGACCTACTTCCTTCAACTACACCCCACCTCCTAACAGCACCTTTAACTATGAACTTATCAATGGACACATTGTCTGAGAATTTCCATTCACTTATCTTCTGGAATCAGGTAAATTCTAGGAAGAGATAAGACATCCCTATCATGAATGTATAACTGGATCCCAAGCCTTTCTGTAGGTCTAGGTTTTGTATCTTCCTATTCCTTTCCTGGGATTGTCTCCTCCATTGATCTCCTTTCCTCTTAGGATACTAGAGTCACCTAGACATGGACAGCTAATCACTGACACACTAATTTAAACACTAGAACTGAAAAGTGATGGAAAAGAAAAAAGGTAACATCTCTAACATGTGACATAGGTTTTCCCAAGGCACAAATACATCTTGGATGCCTGAAGGCATGAGGCCTGAGACCCTACCCTATACCATTAATATCCACTTCCTGGTATAGATACAAAGCAAGAAATATAGGGCTATAGATCACCAGATTCCTCCAGCCCACTCCCTGACCTTGGTGCAGGGTAGGAGCAGAGCTCTTTGCTTGCTTTTCCTCCTTAGCCAGATAGGAAAGGCTGATTGTGACAATGAAGGCTCCATTTACAGAATGAGGCCATGTATTAGTCCTGACATATCGTGAGAGTCATTTGGGTGAAAATAATCAAATATACAATAACTTAGGAAGGCCCACAGGTAGATCATAGCCCCAGGTTTTCCGGAGTGATTCACATCCATGCTTTAAAGTCTAATGCAGTTTCATCTCCTTAGGCAGTGAGGACCAAAAATAGATGGCTTATTTCAAAGAATTGAACCTTAAAAGACTGAAGTTAAAATATCTTCCCGGAGGGCAGCATCTCTTCCCATACATTTTCTAAAGCCACACTTGAGAAAGCTGTGACCTATAGATGAACACTGGAATAGCATTGTAAGGCACAAAGTAATGGTACATCAACTTGAATTAGAAACAAAGATATGTCTGGAAAATATGAGAATGAAACTTAAATCTTATTGAGTTGGAAACACAGGCACTAGAGGATGCTCATTTACCTTCCTTTTCAAATAAGGGCATTATTGAATGCCTGATTTGGAATAAGGAGGCAGAGCCTCATGGTATCAGGCTTTCAGAGGTAGAAACTATAATAGCTCATGATCAGCACAAGGTGACATCAACATCAAATGTACTGAACTCCCTTGTTCACCTTCTCACCAGCCAGAGACCAGAAATGAGCTTGAGCTCTTTTATACAACACAATTTAACCTCAGTGTATTGAAGAAAATGGATCTTTTTAAGGTGCCTCATGGCCAAAGTCTTTCAGCAGACATGAATTCTGCCACCTGATCAAAGTCTGAATTTCAAGCTTTCATGTGGTTAAAATAGGCTTTTAATTTAAAAACTCAGTGATATATAAATAAAATGTTAAAGAACCCCCTACCCCCAGCATAATCCCCTTCCACTGGTAAATGACACTCTTGTGTATGTTGTTACCACCCCTTCCCTATGCTCATGCAAACTCATCTACCCAAGTACACCTACAAAAATGGCTACCTCTACATATTAACTGCTGCATGCATACCTTTTCTCTTAATCTACTTTTGTCTTTATTTTTTCAGGGTTGATATAGATCTCTCTTGCTCATATTAGCTGCTTCGTGTTGCATAATGAGGTCAACAAATGCATGCTTGCCTTGTCAATGTCATCTTACATATTTCCTGAATGACTTCTAAATTCTGGTAGATCTTTCCTCAAGTGACTGAATGACTTCTTTGTGTCTCTGAGTTCTCCTGACTTTAGCAACTAGTTGATTAGTTCACTTTCTCCATCTATCACCTATGAGTCCTAACAGATCTGATGACTCCAACCATCCCCCTTACATGATATGACAGGGAGGGAGGAAAGGATAAACATTTATTAAGCCTACCAGAGACTACAATAGTATTTCAGTTAAGCCTCATAGAACATTATGAAAGGAGTCATCCTTGTCTTACAGATGGGGAGGTAAAGGGGCCAAAAGGTTAATGGCTGTGTCCAGAGCCCCAGAGACAATTAATGGTGGATCCAGATGACCAGTGACAGTCTGTATGCTTCTGTGTGAAATGACACAGGAGGTACCAGATCAATGAAGTTGAAGAGAGGGAGCCAGGTACTATTCTTGATTATCAGTCTTCAAATTGGCACCAGGTCTAGGAGGACCCGGTGTGTGCCTCAGGACAAAAGGTTAAAAGCATCATGGGATTGGTAGTGGGGAGGTTCTGAATGTGGTTGATTAGTGGCCTGGCACCAGAAGACCTGATCTTTGGGAAAATTATTCCTGTCACAAGATGCCATGTAGACACATGTGAAAAATTAGGAAAGGGAGCTCTGTGAAAAGTCATTGGTAAAATAAGGGAGGGAGGGACAGGAGGCAACTAAGTGGTCACTTTGTGTATGTGAAATATCTTCTTTGGATTGGCAAGGAAGGAGGCAGAGCCCATGGGGAGGAAGAAGATGCAGTTAAGGAATCTGGAAGGGGGGGGCCACAGGATATTAAAGACCAAGGATGTCTAGTACCAATGTCAGCTATTTGTAAAGCTGTGATATGATCCTTCCCTTTCTTCCAGAAGTTTGTTAGTGTCTCAGGCACCTGGTATGTGTAGAAATCCAGGAAAATTGGCTTCATTCAATGTTAGCAGGAAGTCCATCTTACAAAACACACTTGGAAATGAGATTATTTCTAAGTCTTGGTGATATTTAACCTTCTCTAACTTGGCACCCCAATGGTAAGGTAAGAAATGAGGACAGAAGTGGTGACAGGATGTGATCAGCAAGAGAAGAGCACCCTGAGCTCTACCATGAAGTGTAGCGTCCTGAGTGTGAAGCAGAGCACTAAGAAAAATGGCTCCTACTTTCCTTTTGCCTTCTGTCATCCCCAAACCCAACCTTCTTACCTTTCAGTCACCTTGGAGATGAGGGGACATGGAAGGAATCAAGCATTGCTTCTGGCTTCAGTAGACAGGGGAACCTGAAAAAAGGGTCTTGGAGTTGGGCCCACAGCCCACTGACACTAAGAGAAAGACAAGCTCAGAAAACAGACCAGGAGAAAATCCAGGAGAGGGATGAAGAAATGTTAGAGGAACTGCATGTTGTATTTTCCCCATGAGATGGAGAAATGACTCACCATTAGTTTTGATGGGCCGGGGCTTCAAAGATGAAATGGACTTCATTAGCTTGTTGGCATTTTTCAGAATATAAGAAGGCATCAGTCATTCTTGTGAGTGACCTATTTTAGAAAGTGTAGCTACATTAAACATTCTTACAGAAGTTAGGATTAGGGTTACTCTATACTTAGTAGTTATGAGGTATTCCTGGGTATCAAATGGGCAGAGATAGAAAGAGCAAGATGAGTTGAGGTAGGGAGACCTAAAAATGAATAGTAGGGTTGAGTGAAGAAGAGTTCAGATGTCTGTGTGTTGCAAAAGCTTGCGGTATCAGGATGACATTGTTCTTGTCAGACCCAGACAAAATTGGAGCCAGGAAGTTATAAAGAGGGAGGGCTCATGCCTGCTTCTCTGAGATAAGTACTTTGTCAAGGACTTTCTAAAGGCTCAAAGGAGATTATTTTTTATTCTACACATGCCTTATGCTTTGGAAACCTCCTACATATGCACAGATTTCTGTACTGAAGTTTATCTTTAGCGTTCTTTAAGACTGCAAAAATTCAGACAAGATTCTGTGAACAGAAGACTTACCCACCAACGGCCCCTCCACCAATAAGCTACTGCCTATTCTTCCCTTGGTTTTCTAAGACCAGTGAAGTTTGTACTGAAGCAGTGTATGTGCATTTCTCCCTTTAGGCCTTTAAATGCTTCCTCTTGCCTCAACCTCCTTGAATATTCAGGTAGTTTGCTGTGGAATATGCATTCTCATTGTGATGCTCCGTCATTCCTACATAAATTATTCTTTGGAGAACCTATGTCTGATTGTTTAGACTGACAGTGTGCAGAGAGGTGAAACCTCAGGTTTCTCTCAGTCTCTGTGGAAGGAGGGCTGACTCAAAAAACCAGGAGATATATGATTACACCAAGCAGCTAAGTCAAAGACTGAGAACTTTCTGGGAAAATGGTAGGTAACAAAAGACTACTAGATTTGGGAATATAGAGGATGATTTGCAGCACTATTAATCTGTGCTGAATGTGAAGTATTGAACCTAAAACCCTCATTTGAAGGACACACATGCTCACCAGGTACAGAGGGAAGAGAGCGCCCAAAGCTGGAGGCCTGAGATACTCTCTACCTGCTCAATCCCCATATGAGATTCAGGTTCTTATACTGGATGTACAACTTTTACTTCCATCAAGAGTGGATGTATCCTGCATGTACTTGGGGGGTGCCCTACTACACATGTGCCAACCCTTGCCATTGGCAACCATATGCATTGAAAACTTGTAGGATCTGGATTAAAAATGACAATTTCATTCTTGAGAATTTAAGAGATTCCATGTTTCTCTGCTCAAATATCCTGTCTTCTTAAGGTAGGTACAGTAGTTCCAGAAATGGGTGAGTGCATATTTGACCCTGCAACTAGAGTGCCTCAATTTCCAAACAGTTCCCATGTAGACGTCTGTCTCCACCCATGGGTCTCCTGGACACTGTCCTCAGGTAGACCTTCACTATCCTAACACGGACATCCATGCCTCAGTCCCCGGGTACCACAGACAGAGACCACCTGAAGGCATGAATGTAACAAGATCAGTAATCATATCTAATCCAAGTTATCTAAACAGTCTGTGTCAGTTAAAAATGTAGACTGTAATACTGAATAAAAATACATACATAATAAAAACAATATGCCTACTATCTGTGTGTCTGTGTGTGCACCTTTAAAATGTTCTGCATAAGCTATCATTAAGAACACATATGTGAGAAAAAGATATATTATCCGCAATAGAATTCCTACAAATCCATTATGAAGAAGACAGTTCAGTCTAAGAAAAGGGGGGAAGGAGTTGAACAGGCAGTTCAAAAAGTAGAAGATACATAAGCAGGCATTTTCATCTTCTGGGACCCTTGGATAATGTCCCCAGCTGCCGAGAAGAGTTACTGGTTGATACAATTCGCTGTCAGTGCCCCTGAGCATTACCTTCAGTTAGTGTTTTGCTCAGCTCTCGCCCCATTCCGAGGCCAGCTAGCAATGATTGGAGGGTTTCTCCCTTTCTACATTGATGAGATTTATAATTTATTTTCCCATTTTGGGGGATAAAAAGAAGTCTGCTTCATGTTTCCTTCTGTATAATCGGCAAAAGCTGAGATTACTGGAAAGCGCTCATCCTCCAGGGACAGCATCAATATTGCCAAGTCTTGGTGACTACGCAGCTAGCTGGACGCGTGAGGGCGCTGTGGCTCCACTGACGGGACCTCACATGCCGCTTCCTGGAGATGGCTCGGTCAGGGATAGTCCAGCTTGGAGCCTGGGTTGGGATATGACCGGATGAACCAGAGGCCGTGGCTAATTGCTACCTGGGCCCAGCAGCCGATATGCACGAATGTTTGTTACCACTGGGAGACGTGAACTGCAGCTTTGTATAACCACAGCCTCTCCAGGAGTCTGGATTTGAGGGGAGTGTGATGGGACTTGGGGAGGGGGGTGCCAGGACCACCCCAGCCAGGCGGAGAATGGAGGACTGCCTCAGAGGAGAGTTAGAGAAGCTGGGATGTGGATGTCCGCCCCACACTCTGCCCCGCTGTGCTTGGCACAGCCAGCTCCCCCTGCTGACGACCAGAAGCTCAGCCCAATGAGGAAGGCCTGACCACATGATCATGTCTTGGGGTGCAGAGGGGCTCCTGGAGAGGACAGGGACACTGACATCATAATAGTGACGTCCCTGATGTTACAGGAAAATGCTCCAAACTGAAAAAAGGGAGGAGCAGAACAGAACAGTTGCTTTCTGGCCCAGGAAACCAGCACCTTGAGTAGGGAGATGCCCAGTCCTGTCCATCCTGACTCGGCCTGGGGACCCAGGTTCCTCTGCTGTGTGACCCTTTGTCTCCTGGGAGCAGGTGAGTCCTGAGCACAGGTGGGCTGGTTCCTGGAGCCATGGCTCTTACTGCTGCTGGAGTGTCAGGTTCTCGCTGTCTAGGTGCTCATTTCTATCTCTTTCTTTCCTAGGTTTGGTGGATGCCGGAGTCACCCAGTTCCCAAGACACCTAATCAAAGCAGAGGGAGGAAAGTCCACTCTGAAATGCTATCCCGACTCTGGACACAGGAGTGTGTCCTGGTATCAGCAGGATCCTGGTCAGGGCCCCCAGTTCCTTGCTGAGTATTTTGAGATGTCACAGAGAACTAAGGGAAGCATGCCTGGCCGATTCTCAGCTCAGCAGTTCGGTGACTATCACTCTGAGCTGAACATGAGCACCTTGCAGTTGGCGGACTCGGCTGTGTATCTCTGTGCCAGCAGCTTGGCACAGCCTTGCAGAGCCACTGGCTTTCTGTACCCTAACCTTCCAGTCCCAGCTGAGGATAGAATAGGGAGGGGCTAGGGATGTCACCTTAGCCCAAGCCCTATGGATGCCTGTAGTGCTTTGCTAACCCTCTCTCTGCCCAGCTGTGCTCAGCCACAGGGCTGGTGGACATTCAGATTCCAGCCCTGCAGGATGCTCTCATACCTCTGCCTGGGCCTCTCTGTTCCTAGCAAGTGGCAGGAGCCCCAACTTTGTGCCAGTGTGAGGGTATGTGCAGTGTGTGATTCACAAATATGGTGAATGTTTAAATTAAAAATTGATTACAGTAAAAGATATATTGCCACTAACCCCCCAAAACTCTCACTTGCTTCAAATACACTTATTCCCTCATTCTATTTTATGAAGCAGTTATGGAGGTTTTCTTTCATGTCTTTAGTTATGCTGCCTTGGCTGCCTCTAGGTCCTGAATTGATTCAAATATTTACCTTTCATGGTCATTTTGACTTTGGGCAAGAGCCAGAAGTTGCACAGTGCCAGATCTGTTATAAGGTGGGTGAGGACACACTGTAATAATATTTTTATGGTGGCACCGGGCTGCAGCATTCAAGGAATTTTGATTACACCTTGTAAAGATACTCTCAAAAGAGAACTTCCAGAACTACTTCATAAGTGTCAGCAGAAACCACAGAATAAGTCTAAGGGGGCATATTTTAAGGAGAACTAATGGGAATGTGTCTTTTACTCTAATAATGTCTTTTTACATTTAAACATTCACTGTGTGTTCTTATCATGCCTTCTATTATGTGTTTTAATGCAAGGATAGACACTAGGTATCCACTTTATAGATGAAGATCTCAATATTTCAATATAGATTGGAAAGTGTAGCTCATAGGCTTTCCCAATATTTCCTATTCACAAGCATTAGAAACAGGATTGAAACCTACATCTTTATGCCTCAAAAATCAAAGTTCACCTAAAATCTCATGGTCGTCCCTGGTCTTGGTCAATAATATGTAGCAGAACACTATCTCTTCCATTTCAGGACCACTGGAGCATCTGGAGGAGGCCACATTATAGGGTATGATAACTATGGCTAACTGGCTGTCAACTTCCAGGACACATAATATTAAGCCAGAGAATGTTTGTCCTCCTTCCAAGAGGAGGTGTACATTTTTACTAACAGAAAATTTATGACTCAGTCATTAATTAAAGTAAATTAAAAGTAAATGAAAAGGAGGTATTGCTGGTAAATCAGATATTGCTAGGAGATGCTTATGTCCCCAAAGAAGTTAATGTTTTGTTTGGAAGAGTATTATTATTGCTATTCAGGAAAGGGGCCTCAGAGCTATGGAATTCCATGTGTCTTATCCAAGAAACTCTTACATTTTGAGCCAGAAGGCTTCCTTCCTTGCCCTCACCTATCCATGATGGCTTTTTGTCTCCTAGGACCTGCTAAGCTCTGGACATAGATGGAGAAGGCTTCCTGGGCTGACCAGGCCCCAGCACCAGTGTCCCATGCAAGTATTATACTGACCTCTTCCTATCTCTTCCTATCACTTCTGATCCTGTGTCTCTCTCACTAGAGCATGACTGGAGAAGACATCCATCATGATTCAGGATTTGTGTAGGCACGGAGAGAAGGCCTCACATAGACATGCCACCTGCATAGAAGCAACAATACTTACAGCTAGTGAATACTTGTAAATTTTTCACAAGAGAGAATTTATGACTTAATTTTCCTATGTCATGAATACAAGATCTTCTGAGTGAATACAGAGCATTTCTCTGTGACTGTGGAGACTCCAGGCATGTAATGTATGTTTTTAGCAAACACCTGGTCCACATCCTGAATGGGCCATCTTTCTTTCTTTGGGGGAGGGTTACTATAGAGCAAGACTGACCTTAAACTTGTGGTCCTCCTGCCCAAACCTCCCAAGTCCTGGGATCACAAGCATGTGTTGTGCCTTCATACCCAGTGAATCTTCTCTTATTTTGACACGAAGCACAATCATGGAGAATTAGGTGGCCCAGGGTGCATGATCTCCTCTGAAAGAAAGGAAAAATTCACACCCATGAGGACACACTGAGCCCTGAACCTTTGGGGCAAGACCCCCAAAAGCATTTTTTTTTTTTTTTTTTTGTACCGGGGATCGAACTTGGGACCTTCCGCTTGCGAGGCAGGCACCGGAACCACTGAGCTAAATCCCCAGTCCCCAACAGCATTTTTATAAATGAAAATTGCCTTGGAGGAAAGGGGCGTGGCAGGTTAACTGTATATGTCAGGGACAGTGACATCACTGAGTCACTGAAAGCCCAAGTTCTACATTCCCCAAACAGGGCTGGCAGACCCAAGATCACCGCCCTGGTTGTGAAATGGGCACCACGCTCTTCTCCTGTGTGGCCTTCAGTCTCCTATGGGCAGGTGAGTGCATGTCACAGGTGGGCTTCCTTCTCTGAAATTCCCAAGACCTCAATACAAGCCTTCTTTTCTAGAGGATATTACCAGGCTCTTTCTCTATTATAGGGCATATGGAGGCTGGAATCACCCAGAGCCCAAGACACAAGATCACAAAGACAAAAGAAAAGGTGACTTTGAAATGCCACCAGACCAACAACCATGACTACATGTACTGGTATAGACAAGACCCAGAGCATGGGCTGAGGCTGATCCATTACTCATATGAGGTTGACAGAGTTGACAAAGGAGAAGTCCCCAATGGATACAGTGTCTCCAGAGCTAACACAGAGGACTTTCCCCTCACTCTGGACTCAGCCACCCTGTCCCAGTCATCTGTGTATTTTTGTGGCAGCAGTTTTACCACAGAGCTGCACAGCCACCTCCTCCCTGTACATCAAAGTGCAGTTAGGAAGACTGTGTTTGTCTGTGTGCACAAACCCTGGCTCCACCTCGAGAAGTCCTAACCCCTATAAAAAGCACAGAGTCCTGGCCAGCCTGGGGCCATCCAGCATGGGCAGTCTGGTTCTCAGTGCTGAGGGCCTTGCCATGCTGGTCTGAGCCCAACTGGAAGTCACCTAAGCACCCTTAGCTTGCTGGTTCTCTCTTCTGTATCTCTCTTGCTGCTTGCAGAAATACATTTTTAGTTGAGATACAATAACTTCTTTGGTAATCTCAAAACAATCATCTTTTTCTCACCCTTGAGGGTTTCACTGACTTCTACCACTCACAGTTATAAATATTCTCTGCTCCTAGCAGCCCCTGCTCTCTGGGGCCCCAGCCAGTGAGGACATGTGTCATTGCAATTGACTTATCTCTCCATCATCTGCCTTACCATGTCTCCTCAGCTCTTTCTCCTCCAGCCACACTTCTCCACAGTCAGTTCTGTCTTCTGTGTCATTTTCTACCCAGGGGACATTTTTTTCACAGGCTATTTCCTCTGCACAGAACATGTCCCTTCCTCTTCTTCCAGGATCTCAACTTCACTCTTCTCATGAACACGAATTTCAGATAGACTTCACTGTAAAAAACAAAGTTAAATATTACTAGAATGAATTAAGAAAATATTTTAGCTTTCATTTGAGAGAAGATATTTTAATGGAGACACAAAAGATTATAATACATGAGGAATAATATTTGCCATTTCATATTAAAGTCTTCACATCAAAACTCAACATAAAAAGTGAAAAATTAACCCATAGAACAGGAAGAAGCATGAGGAATGCTGATAAGTTGAGAAGAATCCGTGTGACAGAGGACATTAATGTTCATCACACACAGGTGGCTCCTTTATGATTCTCAGCCTATTTGGAATTGGAAGATTCACAGTCTGTCTCCAGGTCCAGATGTGGGCAAAAATGATGTCATCCAGTGCCAACTCTGGCCCTTACAAGTGTCCTTTGGCACTCTGTTGGGGATCCCCATATATACCCCCACATTTGGAGATTTGGAAGTGATATTCATGTGATACAGCACAGAGGTGTACTCATGGTTAAAATTTATGACAGTGACATAGGAAGTATTCAGCAGCAGATCGTGTGGAAAAACATGTAGATAGGATCTAGAAGAAGCCACACTCAGCTTCCTTATGCTCCTTTCCTTCCAGGAGGGGTCACACACAGCTCACTCTGCCCCCCCCCCCAACCCGTGCAGTGTTTTTGCCAATGGAGGCCACAACAATTCAGACCCCTTGAGATTTTACTGAAGCTAATCCATTAATCCCATCCAATGGCACTCTCTGATAATACACTCTCTATGTCTACCTTCATGTCTGCCTGTTGCTCTAACTTCTGTCTGGATCCTAAGGTGATAATAGAAGTCATTTGGAAGCCTTGCTGGAGGTATTGGAGAGTACTGGAAACCCTCTGAAGGCATTCTCTTTCTCCAACCCTCCTGGCATCCTTCTGCCCTTGCATAGTCTATGTCATGGTTTATGAGCATTTATTCACTGGCGTTCATCCAATTGATTCATTTGCAACCCCCCACCCCCAGTGTGGTGGATGAACACAGCCATTCACCATCTCCAGAATTTTTATTTGGTTCTTTTCCTATCTGCTATGTCACTTTTATAGTTACTAATTCCCGCATGACATTTTCCAAAGTCGTCTTTTATTTTCTTTGAACATAGGAAACATAGTTGTTTCAGAGTTTGTCGCAACTTTTTCCACCTCTGAGACCTCTGTGTACTATTTTTGTTCATTTCCCTTTTGTGCTGCTTCTGAGTCCTGGTATTTCCAGTTCTCAATGAATATGATTCTCTTTGATGTTGCATCACACATCATAGTTGGAGATATGATTTTTGGTGGCGGATGGACATGTCTTCTTCCAGAGAGAATTTTGTTTCTGTCACATATTTAAGGTATAAACAATCTGAAGATTTCCAAATCAGGATGAAAGGCTTGAGGTGTCCTGGGTCGCCTGGACCGCAGGTTTACCTCTGGCTTATTGTTACTATTAGAATACGTCAGTGCTCGCCCTTGGTAGACTCTGCTCTTTGACTTTCACCCCCTGACCTGTGAATCAGTTCCATAAAGGCTGAGCTGATGTCAGCAAATGCCCACTTCCCCAGCTTTTTCCTTCTAAGACTCCAGCCAAGTTTTCCCTCCTTATATCTTTTTTCGATACCAGGGATCAAACTTGAGACCTTGAGCTTTTGAGGCAGGCAGTGGAACCACTGAGCTAAATCGCCGGCCTCCTCCTTATGTCTTTAGGACATTAATTAACAGAAGTTTTTATGCTGGTTTAAAAATTTTAATCCAACTATTTAGATAACAGTGGAACAATTTGGGCCCTCATCTGTGATTACTGAGATTAAAGTCAAAGAATTTTATTTGGAGCTTAATTTTGTTTGGGTTTTAATGTTAGATTCCCAGTCTGTGATTTCTTTGACATTTAACACAAATGGTGTGGAAATGTTAAATTTTTATTTCAACCACAGGAGGCTTTAAAAAATTAAAGGATATATATATATAATCAAATTGACAAATCTATTTGTTTTGGCATTTTATTACTGAGTATTTTTATGTTGTCTTTTTATGTTCATTGAATAACTCCTGATGTTCCCTTGGACCATGTGGCAAGATGGGAAATGGAAGAGTGAAAGCTTGGACTTGGTCAGAGATCACAGAAGGAGCACAGAATCAATTTAATCTCCACACTGTCCTGAATCATCCATGGTGGGTTTTATAAATGCGCCCAAGAGGCATTGGTTAGAGTTTAAGAGTAATTGATATGTTTTTATCTTTCCCCACTTCAACAGTCTCCTGAGACTCTTGCTCCACAGTCTTATTTTGCAAAATGTCCCCAAAGTACTGCTTCAGTTGTAAGCTTCCTGTTTCTTACAAATGCTCTATTAGAAGGAAGTAAGTGACTTTTCTGGTCTCATCTTCATTTTAGCTCTGTCTGTCTTCATTGTCTCACTTTCCTCCTGGCTACCTGGACAAGAGGTCTATTTTTGTTGCTTTCTAAACCTGCACTAACATTAGTGGTTCAGGAAATTTCTTTTCCATGTAAAGTGGGCCTGAAGTTTACAGGGGAGAGAGAATGGGATTGATTAATTCCAATCCAGAACGGTGTTAGCCCATACCAGAGCCCTGTTTTGTAGCAATATTAAAGTTTACTTGACCTCCACCTATCCGACTTCAGTGTGCATCTCCCAAGTGGTTCCATGCTAGGCCATAATAATATTAATACTGATAAATGATTCCCTGACACCATTGATCATAATATTTCGTATCTCCTCGCTAGCTGAAGCAAATTACAATTACCCTGTCCTAGAGATACAGCACATTTGCGCTGCTTCTGGGTACTGGCCACTAGGAGGCACTGCGGCTTCATTTTTGTCAGGAGTCTGGAGAGGCTCTGAGAGCTCCCTGCAGGATGGTTAAGGGAAACTCTGGGGTTAGGCCTAGATTCAGGGAGTTGGTGTGCAGATGTCTTGAATGATGGCTCAGCATGAAGGAATTAGAGAACAGCTCTCATTTCTCTGTTGTGGTTTCGCTCTGGATTGAGCTTCGTGTTGGGCTCTGAGTGGCGGGTCAGATTGCTATGGGGACACCTCTGAGGTTGCTTGAGAAGTGAGGCACAGGGAGTCGGGAGGTGCGTCTTGTGCATTCTGGGTTTGGAAAAGGAAGAAGCAGTTTGTGTTCGGAAAAACCTGAGAGAGCCTGACCTCAAATCAGGCCAAGCCAGCCCTGCCTGTTCTGTTGAATGCAGAGGATGGAGCTGGAAAAATGGGTACATTACTCTGGACTTCAGGGACCCTGGGTTCAGGGAGATGACAATCACAACGACATCACCAGCAAGTCGCCTCATCAGACAGGTCTGCATAGCAGAGTCTTCTCCCCCCTAGGACTTCAGCTGTGAGCAGGAAGTTGCCACAATCTACACCTTACCTCGCCATTCACTCCAGGTGCCTGTGTGTCCCCTGGCAGATTTAGGAATTCTTGCCCAGCTTCCTTTGGCCTGGCTTCAAGTTCATTCTTTGCAATGGTGCATCTACCTCCCACTTGTATTGTGTATTTAGCTTCTGCCCCTTTCACTGGTGAATTCTATGGATACAACTATTTATTAAATTTCCATTGCTGCTATAACAAATTATCACTAACTTGCTTGCTTCAAGCCACACAGATTAATTATCTTATAATTATGGAGGCCAAAGTTTAAAATGGGAATAACTGGGCTAAAATCAAGATGTTGGCTGGGCTGCTTTTGTAGGTGAGAGGAGAATCTATTTTCTTGTCTTTTTAGAGATCACTAGCACCTTAGCTCATAACCCCATTCCATCTTCATAGTTAACAATGACTGTTTGAGTGGCTGTGTCTTTTATCATGCTGCATTACCCTGACTCTTCTTCCTTTTTCTTCTACATTGTAAGACTGTTGTGATTCCATCAGAGCTACTTGGAGATTTCAGAATAATCTCCCTCTATTAAAGTGATCTGACTAGGCATCTCAATTCCATTGAGGACTTTAATTTCCTCTTGCCAGGTAACTGGACACATTCACAGGCCCCAGGGATTAGATGTGCATATCTCTGGAGGACCATCATTCTACCTACTACACCTAGGCACCTACTAATGAAAATAAAAAATGATTTGTTCAAAAACAGTGATGCCCACAGTCTTCCATTCTGGGCTGAAGAAACAGTGCCTTCAAGGGAAACCAGGTCTCAGGCAACACCAGCCAGACTGCAGAGTGCTTTTTGCTTAACTGTGGTAGATGTCCTCAGGTTCAGAGGACTGGGCAGTGTATTTCTATGTCAACAATGAAAGGATGGACTTACACTCTTCCTTTTTTGCTAGCAAATTACTAACTAGCCAACTGAAGAAACAGCCCTCTTTCAGCTCTCCATAACCTCCATCCCGAGAGGAAATGGGGTGATGAGGGTGGAGTGATAGAGGTGGTTTGCAGGTTCTTCTTATAAGGGAAAGGCCAGGAGTTAATAACTAAGAAATGTTGAACTTGAGCTGAGGATGTAGTTCCATGGTAAAACACTTGCCTAGCACACATGGGGTCCTGGGTTTGACCCTCAGCAACACAAAAAGAAAAAGAAGAAAGTGAAAAAAGAGCTTTGCTGGAGGTTAAAATTAAGCTGCAAATCAATTCTGGAGCATTTGACTTGTTAATCTTTAAGAAAAAGACAATGTTTCCTTGTTTCAGGATGGAGACAAAGAATGTGGGAGAGTATGTGCATGGGTTCCGGGAAATTAATACAGCTCTAAAATGCTCAGAGAGGTCTTTCCCTGCAGTGCTCTAATATAATCAGTTCTCAGGGCCTCATTTCAACCTCTGTGCCCTCACAATGTGCTGCTACCTTTGCTCTTCCTGTAGAGCTTATAAGTCACCTCCCAACTAATTGACAGATGGTTTGAGTGTGAACTAATGACTGGGAGTATCAAGACCCCAGTGAGAGGAATAAGAGGGCATGTGGAGAAGCTGGCTTGTAGTAAGTCAGTGAATTCAACTTTAAATACTTGGAATTTGAGGTATCAATGAAAATATTTGGCAAGCTCTTTGATGAGGCATACTGAAGAGAAAGCATTATGAATTGGTAATGCCAAACAAACTGCCAAGAGCCTCCAGAGGGGTGAATCTGAACCTCAGATCAGTTACAGAAGAGTTCAGTCCTGTCTGATTCGTCTCCCAGAGACACAGCCTCTTCTGCAAGGAGCTTTCAAGTTGATGATGTCACTGACAGGCACGTCTTGTAAGGATGAAGTGCACCACAATTCACTTTGTGCGCCTGCTCACAGGACCCTGGTCTGGATGTTCCACACTTACTCACGTGGCCATGGGCATCCAGACCTTCTGCTGTGTGGCCCTGTGTGTCTGGGTGGCAAGTGAGTCCTTAGCATAGTTGCCATCTTCATGCCGGGTTCCCTACTGATCACTCCCTACATCTTCCTTATTCTGTCCCCCTCTTCTCTCTCCTTTTACAGAGCACACAAATGCTGGGGTCACTCAGACACCCAAGCAAGAGGTAACCAAGAGAGGACAAGCCGTAACTTTGAGATGTGAGCCAATTTCAGACCACAAAGCCCTTTACTGGTACAGACAAACTGTGGTGCGGAGACTGGAATTGCTGACTTACTTTCGCAGCCTAACTCTTATGAACGAAGGGGAAATGCCGAAGGATCGCTTCACAGCTCAGATGCCTAATGCATCGTTCTCCATCCTGAAGATCCAGCCCGCAGAACCCAGTGACTCAGCTGTGTATCTCTGTGCCAGCAGCTTAGCCACAGCATTGTGGAACCATCCCCTGCCAGCTCAGAAACCCTGGGTGCCCCTTCTCCCTCCAGTCCCATAGTCCTAAGTACAATCTTCCCTGCTCCTCCATCCCCATGTGATATACGTGGGTTGGGGACAGGACAAAGAAAATAATAACATAAAAATGGAGGAAATTTTGGGTAGGAAATAACAAGAAATCAGTTTCAGGGGTATCTTGGAAATTGTCTGCAGACTCGAAGTTCACATGTCAAATAAATCTTTCACACTGTAAATCACCCTTCCTTCCGGTAGTTGTTATCACCTGCTGAATGTGGGACCTCTTGATAAGGGCTGTGACTTCTGACCTACACTGCCTCTCCATTCTCTCCTCACTCTAAGCTGTGAACAAATCCCTTTCCCAGTGAGATTTCCTGACTGTGAAAGAATTGATGTATATTCTGGGAAGATGAGCTGCCTGCTCTGAACAATCAGTAAGGATCCACCTTGGTCCATCCCAAATCACAAAGGCCTGTCCTCTTTACTTTGCCTTCTTTTCTTCTTGATCCTGTGTCCTTAACAGCCATTCTCTTTCCTTCTGATTTGTGTCAGAAATTTCTATTGTAATCTATTCTGAATAGTTCTAACTTCTCTTTTCTATAGTCTGATTCACCTACTGATTGCTTCTCAACCCTATCAGGGTATCCTTGGGAACTGGTACAAAAGATACCTATATTTTAATGGCCAAGGCAATTCAGGTTTATGTGAGCCATATTTTATATGCCAAAGCCAAATTACATTTTTTTATTGACCTATTTTTGTCACTTAAGTGCTCTGGCTTTCAGCGTGAAAATAGTACAGAATGAAGAGCAGTTTCTTTTGTGGGTACATCAAGAAACACAGTCTTTATCTGCATATGGCTTTAATAGATTCCTTGTTCTGGATCCTTTCCAATGCTTCTAGGTCATTTTACTTCTTTCTAGTTTAAAGCCCAGCTCCTTTGCACTATGGCATTAGGATACTGCCTTTTTTGTCGTACTCATTTCCTTACTATCAGATCTCTCTTCTCATTCAGTCCTTCTGCCTACTACCAACCCTATCTTCACCTTTGATATCTACATCATCACCAGGGTAATGTATGCATTGATTGGCTATTCAATTTCATGACTTCTTCACTTCTGAGTTTTTCCTTTCAATCCTTTTCAGACTTTCTTCCATGATTACAGTAAATATGTACTGAATAAGTGAATGAGTGTTCATCTCTCCTAAACTGAAGCTTCCCAAGGGTAGGAACTTTGAAATATTCTCCACAAATCCTAACATTGGGAATCAGAAGGCAACAAAAGCCTATGTTTTGAATGAATAAATAAATAGATTTAAAGAAACAAATGCAAGACAAAGTTGTTTTGAATGGCTATTCTGTGATGAGTGTCATAGACAGCATTTTCCTTATCAGCCAGGTCTATGAGGAGATGATCACACACTAGGCTTCTCAGCAAAAATATGTGCAGATGCTTTGCATTCTTTTCTCCTCCCAACATTTCCCAATTTCCCCACTTTGATTTTGCTTTTACTGTAATGGAGACTTAATTTATTCTACTAGTGTGATAAAATGAGCCATGTAGGAATTCTTTCCAGTTTTTATACATTCACTCGTGCTGGTTGCAAGATAAAAGTCCCATTTTGGGATAGTATGTGAATTTTTAAAGGTCTAGGCCATGTGATGCTTCACAACATTTATCTTAATAATCAAATATAATTAATTTTCTTGCAAAAAGTCTTTATACAAATATCTCTCTATGCCCTTGCTCCTGCAATTTCCACCATCTTTTTCAACATGTCTAATCCTTGTAATTACTCAAGATACCATTGACTTCTTTATTTCTCTATGGAGCAGCAAACAGCTCTGCTGACTCTTTTTTTCCCACAATGGGAAATGATAGGTACCAATTTTGTAAATGAATGACTATGTAGATGGACCAGGATTACTTTCATTGAATTATTTCTTACATACTTTTGGAGATCAGGAAATTCATTGAGCTCTGATTTATTTCTATTTAATTCCACAACCCCTACCACTTGGACTATTTCAAGATAAAATTCCTCCATCAAATTTAAAAATCTTTGCTCTGTGAAAGCCTCTGTTAAGAGGATGACAAATAGATACCACAAAAATCGTGAAAGCCTTTGAAAACCACCTTCCCCAAACAGAATTATCTAAACAGAGAGCCAAGATTCACAGGACTGTCCCATAGACTTATTAGTAATAACTCATAATAAGTCTGAATGGTTGCTTAAAGTCAGTAGGTTTGTAGGAAGGTTTGTTGGACATTATCTGCAGTTTCTGCTTGAGTAGCAAGTATTATGAACTATTTATGATACCTCTGCATGAGTCTCAAGCATGGTCATTAGCTATTACTGAGGCTGATTCTCTAACACTGATCATTCTTGGATACATAAGTACAAATTCCATAATGTTCCTTTCCAATAAATGTAATTCAAAAGTCTAATTGCTTCATATTTGAAAAAGGCAAGCCTTTTTGCAGTATTCTAATTATTCATAAATAATATCCAATAGATGTATTTGGGACTAGGAACAGGCCTATTAACATCTCCACTTCCTCAATTCAAATGCAGAATATGTAACTTTGATAATGTATATATTAGTCACTTCCATTGCTGGGACAAAATACCCAACACCTGAAACTTAAAGGAGGAGAGGTTCATTTTGGCTCATGGTTTCAGAGAGTTTAGTCATAGCTGGCTGGATGGAAGGCAGAAACAGCATGGCAGCAAAGCATGGTGGAGGACAGCTGCTCGCCCATTGTCACCCAGAAATGAGAGGGGGGGAGGGAAGGGAAGGGAAGGGAAGAGAGGAGAGGAGAAGAGAAGAGAAGAGAAGAGAAGAGAAGAAGGAAGAAGAGGATGAGAGGAGGAGGAGGGGGAGCGGGAAGGGGAGGAGGAGGAGCTGCTCGGGATAAGAGCACAGCCTTCCCAGTCACACCTCCAGTGACCAGGCCCCACTTGCTAACAACACATTGACCTATAAGTCATCAATAAATTAATCCCCATTATTCAAAAACCTTTTAAAAGCCCTGACTCTAAACATGTAAAACTTCTGAGGGAATTTTAGAGTTAAGCCTTAACAATGCAGTTTCAGGCTTATGGGTCCTCCAGAATATACAGAGCTATACCATGGCCACTGCTCTTGTTTGGATATTTTCTGAATCCTAGATGATTACAACCTCCCTGTTCACTGGTAAGAAGTTAAAAAAAAATACAAGGTTATTGAGATTTTCGGACAGTGAGAAAATATTCATTGAAATTGCCTCATCGGGTGAATTGTCATGGGAGAATTTCTATTTCTAAGACTGTCCAAGAAGTCAAAGAGAATAAACCATCAGTAACAGTGAACTCTCAAATAGAAATAATTTAGAGTGAATGGTAATAAACATAATTGGTCAGGCTCTTTGAGTTGAAGAAAAAAGTAGTGAAGAGAACTCTTAAGGCAAAAGAAATCAGATCATGTACAAACTGAAATGCAAAATCAATCAACACAATTATTGTAAAAGTTTAAAGGCTAATTAATAGAATGTCTGTGCTTTGAGTGCCATGTCACAGGGAATTTAAATCTGCAGAGAGAATAGAGGAGACACCACAGTGGTTTGAAGTGATTATTCCTTGTTACTATAAGGACAAGAACATAGGAAGACTATTTATAAGAGAAAGAACTTATATGGCTCTTACTTACTATGTCTTGGAGATTTCACTATTTGCTAAAAATGTTTAGTCATTTTGTGGAGGGGAAAACTGAAAATGTGTAATTTTCTCAACATTAGATTGCTAAAAAATGGAGAACAGAGGGGCTCAAACACAAGAAATATGGGATGAAATTTTAAAAATTCATTTCAAGCAAGAACAAATAATATAGCTTCATTAAAGAAAACAATTTCCACAGGAGAAGTACTAGCATCTTAGAAGACTTAGTATCCTCACGTGAAAGTAAAGGAAGAGTCTCAGGTCCAGAAAAAACAGAGTATAAGGAGAACAGGGAATGCATGTAGGATGAAAAGTTCTTAGAAGTAACAGCAGAAAAGAGAGAAATTTAATGTGGTTTTCACCAAGGCAGACAATATTACTGCAGACCACAGAAATTCCTTTAGAAGAAAAACTGAAGGATCTCACCAGTACCCAGAAGGGATTCCCAAGAGGAAGACAAGATTTAGAAGTCTATAGGGGAATGGCTCTGAAAATTATGACTATAAGGAGAGTTATGTATTATTGGGACAGTTTTGACAGAGGATACCTACAGAGATCAATGAAAATACTCGTACTATTACATGATCTTCAGCTACAATTTTTGCCGTTAAAAAGCCAGCCTGATTAATTGTTAAAATTATTACTTCTAAGAAAGTCTAATGTAAGATGGGGCATATTAAAGAGGAAGCAAGCAAAAACAAGGTAGAGAAACCCTTGTAGATAGAATTGCACGAAACAGGAAATTGAAGATATGCAAATACTTGTTTTAATAGAGCTTATTTAAGAAGACCTAGACAAATTTCTTTAATTTCATATATCTCCCTATGGAATATCATAAAAATAAAGTCTAGCAGAATAGATTAGGATGATTAATGGCCCGGGTCAAATGCAAGCATAGAATGAAAGTTGTTATTCAATATCAGTGAATATTTCTAATGCTTCTAGTTGGTATAGAATGAATAAGGCAAACTTAAAAAGCACTTGAAACATTTAAAAATTCAGCTTAATCTTTCTTAAAACATTACATAATAGGAGAAGGAAATAAAATGTGTGGGATTACATTAGAAATAAGAAATTGTAATGGAAATAAATACTATTTAAAGACTGGACTATATCAGATCTGAGAAAAGAGGTTGAAGTGATGAAATAAAACTGATGATTTAGATTGACTTTCCTTGGGCTTTACAGGGAATTTTTAAAAATAGAAGTAGTACATGTTCAGATTTGGGGCATCTCTGAATGTGTTTTATTATGTGTGGTTCATTAGGATGTCATTTAAAATTGCCATGGATGTCTGTTTTGTTATGATGAGAAGGTAGATCAGGAAAGAAAGCAGAATAGCAAGCCACTTCTCAGATTTTCATGTGGCCCTGGACTTATTTAATTACTATACTGTTGTGAGCCATTTTGTGTCTTCTAGTTGCCAGCCATGGTGGCAGGGATGTTTCTAGAGAAGCAGTAACTGAAAGAGATGCCATGGTTATGTGGTGATCTTGTTATATTCTCACAATTTATTTCTTTTATAATTGTTTATATCCTAGAGGGGATTAGTCCTGGATGTAGGTAAGAGAAATCTCCATCCTAGAATTCTGTGCCCTGAGTGAGAGTGTTTTCTGTGCTGGTGGTAACATCTCCCACCAACCAGGTCCTATACCCAGCTTCTCCCTTCTTCATCGATGTATCCCAGGATCCCACAAATCCAAAAATCACGTTTGAAGAGATGTTATTACAGGGACCAAAATGTGAGCATACATAGACATCCACACACTCGGGGACATGATTGATTGTACACTAGATCAGGACAGAATAGGCACTTTGAATTCTCTATGATTATGAAACTTTCACTGTTTAACTTCCAAGTCAGGCACTCACATATTTTTTTCTGCTGTCTTGACATACTCCCCAGTTCCGCGGACTAGAAAATTGTGTCTGTGTGCCAGCAGCAAAGACATGGAGCTAATGTGTTCTATGACCTCTGTGAACAGAAAGTTATTACTGCTGGTAGCCTAAGAACTAGGACAGCTTTCAAATTCTCACCAGATAGAGTTAACTATAGTGCCAGTTACCTTACTACACAGAGAGTGAGATATTAATCATTGAAGAGGACTTGAACTCACTGCACAATGCTTTATTGAGTTTCTCTATGGAAAGTTAAAGCCCAATTTGTCCCTGTTCAGTCCACACCAGTGCCTGAAGGAACAAGAGAATTTTGACATTGCACTTTGCTGTGGACTAGGATCAGCCCAAGGGCATCGATCTGTAGCCACTAGAAATAAAATTTCTACAGTCTCATCTCTTCCCAGGGCAAGTTTTTTCTTCTTCTTGATGAGCATCCACATCCAAATGTTTCTAGGAGTGATTCAAAGCAAGGCATAACTAAACAAAGCATTATTTTGTTTTTGTCTGTCTGAGAGGTAAGCCTCATCACTGAGAGGGATAATGAATTTCTTGAGATTTAGAAACCAATTTATTAATGTTCAGAATTTAAGGTGCTAATGGCCTGAGTGGAAGTGTCCAGCAGGCAGTTTCATATGTCATATGTCAGGGAAGGTTGAGGGGGAAATGAGGTATTTCACAGTCCCCACGGTGCCGGTGCTATGAGAGGTGGCAGTTGAGGGAGGTTTTGGAGTCTGTGAAGAAAACAGCCACAATTGGAGCAGTTCGGGTTTATTTCAGTCAATGTTTGGTAGAGGATCAGTGCTCCCCTTTAGAAGGAAGTCCTTTGAGTCATGACACAGGCAGTGATGTCCCTCCCAAGCCACCCTCCATGTGGCGAGACAAGAGGTCACACTGCTCAGTCACAATGCTCATGCACACAGGGGCCTGTGAGGGAGGGTGTGGCCTCCTCCTGCCACCACCTGCCATGGTCACCAGGCTCCTTTGTTGTGCTGTCCTCTGTGTCCTAGGAGTAGGTGAGTGCCCAGAAATAAAGAATCTGCATGTTTGGACATTGACATTTATGATTCCAATTATGTTCCTTATTCTGATCCCTAATTCTGTCTCTTCTTACAACCTACAGATGCTGGAGTCACCCAGACACCAAAGCATGTGGTGACAGGGAAGGGACAAAGAATAAATTTGACCTATAAGCCTATGTCAAGCCACACTGCACTTTTCTGGTACAGACAGTTCATGGGGCAAGGACTGAAACTGCTGATTTACTTTAATAACCAGCAATCCATAGATGATTCAGGGATGCCCAAGGAGCGGTTTTCAGCTGTGATGTCTGATGCATCCTTCTCCACCCTGAAGATCGAGCGGGCAGAATCCAAGGACTCAGCTATGTATTTCTGTGCCAGCAGCTTAGCCACAGCGCTGCAGGATCACACCCTGCCTGTGCAGAAACCCTTGTACTTCCCCTTCTCTGTCCATCTCCCTGAGCTCTCAGAAGTTGTTTAGGCTCCTCCCCATCACAGGAAGGAAGTAGGTTTGGTGTTGTATCTGTTTGGAGGCAAGGCAGAAGCATACTGCAAAGAAGTATCACAACAGAAACTCTTGGGGGTAAGCAATGCAGGGAGACTGGCTCCTGGGGTGTCTCACACCTTTCTTGAAAGAGTGACTGAATCCAAGACTGAGGATAGCTACCTCTCCCTTTTGCTTTCTGTTATGGCTTCTCCACCATTTCTTGTCTCTTCTGCCTTAAAACTCTCAGCTTCTTTGATGGGTTCCAAAATCTAGATGGTACTTGGCTTCTCAGGTTCTTCACTGTTCACTTCCAATGATCACTTCCTCTAGTCCTGCTCAGACACTCATTTCCATTCTTATATTTTAGACTCATGTGATTTGAACAACCTCCAGAGTAACTCTCTTAAACATTCTACTGTCTTCTTCCTTCTTTTCCATCTTTGATACTACTTCTGCAGCAATTCTTCGTTCCATTAGGACACTAATTGACATCTCCTGTAAACTGCACTGTGTATCACCTCACAATATATTTAAATCCCTCCTTATCCTCTTTAGATTCCGTGGTCTAAGAAAATTATAAAATTCTTGTACATGCTTTCAAACTGTATCACTTTTCCCTTTTATGTTTCTTACCTGGAAAATAATGCTCCTACTCCGTGCTCTTTTGCATGGCACAATGAGCCTAAAATGTCCTTTGCCAAGCAGTATTATAGCTATGGAGTATGGCTTGAGGTCTACAAAGCCAAAGATACATAGGAAATTATATACTTTTATTAAAAGAACTTGGTGTTTTTGAATGAGCCTGTTGGTTGCATCCATCAACTATAGTTAAAGTTTTGACAGTTATAAAATATTAAAAATTATGCACACTGAATGTATGATCTTATCTCATTTATGTGCATGTTTCAAGTTTTATGCACAAAGAAAATAAAGGAAAGAAAAATAGCCATATTTATTTATTCACTTGTAGGGATGATCAAGATAAACTATCACCAGGTGTGGTGACACACCCTTGTAATCCCAGCACTCAGGAGGCTGAGGCAGGAGGATAGCCACAAGTTCATGGCTAGCCAGGGGTACATAGTGAGTTCAAGGCCAGCCTGGACTACATAACAAGACCTTGACTCAAAAGAAAAGATAAACTATCAAGGGGAAAATAATTTGCTAACACAATTAATGAAAATATTATGAAAAGTAATAAAAGTTCCAGTTTAAGTTCATATAAATTTCTGTATGTTTGTGTAAGGAAGGAGAAAATTGTAAAATATACTACTGATTTTCTGGAGAGAGAGAAGGAATATAGAAAGAGCAGAAAGGAGATGATTAGCCTGTCCTAATTTATTCATTTTTCCTTTTAAATTTGGAAAACTCCTCACTACCAAAACTTTAAACAAAAACAATAACATACAGGTAATCCAGGGGGATGGGGGAAGAAATTCACTATGCATAAAAGAGGGAGCTTAGCGGCAGAGTAATAGGCAAGGTTAAAATCATAATGACCTACATACTTTCAGACCTGATACGGGCCTCCCTATTGGCACTATGGGTTTAATGCCTGTATAAAAGATGTGACACAAAGGAGCTAGAATTACATTTCTTGCATTGATGCTGGAGCCCCAAAATGTACCCATTCTTTGTAGACTAAAGGTATTACAACCAAAGACCTAAAAATGTCATTAAAATATTGAATGTTTGATTGGACCTTTGAATCACAACAGAGATAAATTCAAGGTGTTTCACATGTGTGTATCAAATGAAATTTTATACTCTTTGTGAGGAATGGAAACCACATGTTCAGAATCTGATCGAAGGTCCATAACCACTGAAATTCTGGAGGACCTCAATAATAAGAAATTATGGTTCTGCTCTGGAAATCTCGGAAAGAAATACACAGAGACACAGAATTCAGGGAAAATAATAAAAGTTATACTTACAAGCAGGCAGGACCACCAGAAACCAGTCTGGTTAGTATCCAGGCACCCCTTTGTTCAGCATTTCCTTTTTATATGCTTTTTAGCCATTATCTCATCCCTAGTGGTCTTTGATGTGTAAATACAATTCCAGTTCCTATTTACAAGTCACAGACACAAGATAGGCAAATATACATTGTAAATTCACCCAGCCATTGCAACTTTGTTAGGTTAATGAAGTTACTGATAAAAGAGTCAGATGACCACCTTCACCTTAAAGTCACCTTAAGCAACAAGAGTTAGGAAAAGTAAATCTTAAAGGAACACATTACTTATTTTGCTTCTACAACTATCTTAATATTCAAACTACTAGGTTATCTAAACCTTTTCCTTATCATTCCTCCCTCTGTTTACTTAAGGATAATTCTTCTATCTATTATAAGCTCTATCCAGTTTATCTACATTTCTTAACACCAGCATTTGGTAATGTTGAGCTGCAGCAGCTGAAAGGAACACATTACTCATTTTCCTTCTACAACTACCTTAATATTCAATCTACTTAGTTATCTAAAACTTTTCCCTATCAGTTCTGGAGTGAAATTATAGTCCAACCAAGATGGATTAACAGCAATCAGATTTAGCCTTCTTCTTGGAAAAACTTTTAGAAAGAGACAGACAAAATATGTGAAAAACAGTTGTCAGGATTGGAAACAGGCTACAAAAGACAGTGATCCTTCAGAGATGGAAAATAACCAAGCTAAGCGCTAGGACCACCCTACCCTGGTACCTGGAGGGGGATTCCAAGCTATGAGCTACAGAGGGGGAACCCAAGCAGAGATTGGTGATCTTACAGTCTTAGAGCTAGAAACAAAAGTCAAAGTAGCTAAATTCATAGGGCAAAGACCTGGGAAGGCGATTGCTCCACAGATAGAGTTCTGGGCATCTTCAGAAAGGACTCCTTTCACTCTTTGGCTATATTTTATTCTGCACATGTATGAGAAAGAAAGTCCTTGAATTTGGAGAAAGAACCATTCAACTCAAAAGAGGGAACAATATTCAGAGCTCACAAAGGAGCAGGAGTAATGCTTTTCCTTCTAGAAAAAAAGAGAAATTTAATAATTCATGGAAAATGACTACAGTTCTTTAATAGTTTTCCTTAGAGACAAAGCAAGTTATAAGTTCACTAATTTTTTTCTGAGTTCATCTAGCACAGTTTAAAAGCAAGAACTCAAAAGATCACTATTCTCAAGTAACTTAAATACAGGAGCAAAGCTCAAGAATATTTGTAGGGTACAAGAGTATTCAATGTAGATATCAATATGAAGTTATTCTTAAATATATAAATATAGAAATAAATATACATACTAATGTATAGTCGGTTACTTTACATTCATAGATTTTACAGATGTGTCTACTGAGAATACCATTACCAACAGTACCCTCATACTCAGATTATGCTCTAGTTATAGGGACTAGTGGGGATCCTAGGACTCCAGGAGAGAAAAAAGGTAAGATAACTCCTGATAAAAGAAGTAGTTAAGAAAGAAAAAAGAAAGAAAAGGAAAGGAAAAAAGGATAAAGCATCTCAAAAGGACAGAATAACCACTCTGAAAGAGCTTCCAATTATCAAGACTGATAAAATTTGAGCAGCAAAATAAATAATGGTGGTACTGGATTATAGTGTGAGGAATAAAAGAAATCCACAAATTTATATTAATAATTAAATGATTAAATATATAAATAGGGAGAAGGGACAAACCTCCCACTGAAAAATTCTAAATTATATATGTAGAAGAAATAATGGAAAATAGAAAAATTACCATTAGAGACACCACTGTAATAATTGCTGCATGTAGGATCCAATGATTAATACCAAAATTAACGGGTGAAACTTTTAGAATAAATGTAATATTTGCACAGCTTTGAAGAGTTATTTTCCAAATATTGACCCATGATAGTTTTAACATGTCCACATATTCTTTGATATTTTTCCCTCTACAAGGTAAAGCTTCAGGCCCCTCCTCTGGACTTAGTGGCTTGCCTCTATGGACAGACTAAGGAAAGGGAAATGGTAACCAGGTGACCAAGGTTAATAATATATGCAACTCATAATAACTCATATTAATCTCATGTGTATTCTGCTATGAAGCAATGTGGCTTAAGTTGTGCTTTGATGTTATCCTGTTATTGCTTCCCTCTGTTTCTTCATCTAACTCTATAATCCCAGTCTAAACATGATAAAGTATGAGGAAACCCAAGAAGAAAAGCATTCTACAAAATACCTGACCAATGACTTTCAAAAGTGTCAAGGTGATTTAAAAAAAAGGAAAGATTGTAAAGCTGTTGCACATTGGAAAACACTACGGAGATCTCACACCTGTGGGATCCTGGATGACACAGTAGGCCAAAAAAAGGAGGTTATTAGAAAAAGTATAGGAAATCTGACTCAAGTTGTACCAGTGTCAGATTCTTAGTTTTGACAATTATGTCATAGTTATGTATGACATTAACATTAACAGATGTCGAGAGAAGGTATAGCAGAACTGTGGACTATCTTTATGACTCATGAGATACAAGCTCTTCAGCTCTGAATCTCCTGAGTCCATTCCAAGTCAGCTTGTGACATTGCTGTTAATTATGCTTGCTGCCCTGGCTCGGAGCACCCTCATGACCTACGGTAGAATCTGCTCTACTTTCTTCTTGATCTCCAAATCACTAAATCCTAAACTCCAGGTGCCACAAGGCAAGCTGAGCAGAAGGCTACCACTGGAGTTTCTCTGATGCTTTTCTAAGCTGAGAGCTCCCTATTTTTATTCTGCTGTGTTAAACTCCCAAGCACACTTGGGTCACAGATTCCACCATAGCTAGTTTGAGTGAGTAGACAAATGTTGAAGCTTAAAGATAAGGGCAATACCAATTACAGGTGTATGTACAGAAGAACAAATTTGATGTATTACTATTGCAGGAAAAAACCTGTGAGGATTTCCAAAAAGGCCAGTGACATCAAATGCAGGCTGAATAATGTCTCTTCCTCAAAATATATCTATATCCTAATCCCTGAAATCTATGACTATCATCCCATATGACAAAAGTGAAGTTTACAGATGTTTTAAATTTAAGGATCTTGCAATAAGGATATCATTTCATATTATGCAGATAAGCACTAAATGTGATCAATTTTTCTTTATAAGAAGGAGATTTTACAGAGAGGGAGAGAGAGAGAGAGAGAGAGAGGAAAGGGAAGAAGAAGAAGGTGGAGGAGGAGGGGAGAGGGAGAAGTGGAGGTGGCAATGGGCAATGTGACTACAGAGGCAGACTGGAGTGAAAGAGTCACAAGCCAAGGGTCATTGCAGCTCCAGAAGCTGGAAGAATCAGAGAAATTATTCTCTCCTAGAGCCGTTAGAGGGATCATAAGCTGAATGACACCTTGAATTCAGGTCAGTGATATTGATTTTTCTCTTTGTGAAAGAATAAATTTATTCTGTTAAAAGTCATGATCTTTGTCAATTTTCATAGAAGCCAGTAGAAATTAATGCCTCCCAGTATCTCCAGTAAATTTGATCTAAAGCTCAAGAAACTCAAGTCCTTATATCATTGTTCATAAACCTTACTCTCATGTTTTTATCTAACACATATCTTAAATTATAATGAGAAAAAATGACTCTGAGATCCTAAGTTCCCCATGTCTAGAGCATGTCATGGGCCATTGAGAATCCTATTCTCTTTCAAGATTCCATTCCAGCTCTGCCTTCTCTCCAAGAGTTCCAGGCATTGTTTTTTTTCTTAACATACAATGGAAATTAAAAGTAGACAAAGGCTTATGCCTTCATAATGCCATACTTCGTTGGATGAGAGACATGTAAAACAAAGCACAATTGTAATGAATAAATAAAGTAAATAGTTTGTTAGAAGATGCTATCTGCTATAAAGAAAAAAGGTAATGCTGACTAAAGTAATGGGATCAGGATTATCTGAGTAAGGAGCAGTGGAATGTTAAATCTTTGAGCAAAGATATCAAGGACATGATGGAGAAAGTCATTCAGAGGTCTAGGGAAAGTTATCCACTGTAATGGAACAGCTGGTCAAAAGTCACTAAAGAATATTCAAAGACTAACAAAAAGGCTAGGATGACTGGAAAACAAAAGGAGTTAGTGGTTGGGAATTAAGTTAGAGAGTGGATCATATGAGACATTGTAAGCCTTAAGTGCTTTGATTTCACTTTCTGAATAAAATTGGGAATTAGTAGAAGATTTGGAGCAGAAGAGTGACATGTTCAAAAGCTATCTTGGAAGCAAGATGAAAGCAAGGATTCCAGTTAAGAATGTATAGAAGGACCATGTAAAAGATGGTGGTGGTCTGGTCCAGTATGTTTGCAGTGAAGGTGATGACAAATGGATGGATTCTGGGTATGGTTTGATAATAGACCAAGTTGAGTTTCCTCAGTGGATTAGCTACAGAGTGAAATGGCAAACATGGATTCAAGGACAACTCTCAGATTTTCAGCCAAATCAACCAGAAGGCAGCTGGTACAGCAGAGGCGAGGATAATTTTCTGTGTTTAGAGCATGCTCAGTTTTAGAGTGTTGAGGACAAAAACTTGGATGGAGTGTGTTTAAGACAGAATGGGAAAATAAATTTGGGAAATAACAGATGTTGATCATAAGAAACCAAATAAAGCAACAGTACCCACCTTAGGTTGAAAAGCCCCATATCTTCCAGAACACGATACACGAGAAGGAGATAGTACCGGGTAGGATGGGGAAAGATCCAGACATCAGAATCAGGATATATGATATTGATACCTATTCACACACATGAACAGGTAGATTTAATTGGCAACATTCTACTCCATCACACCCCCCAAGGAAAATTTCTTCATAGAATTTGCTCTCTCTTTTTTGCTTTCATTTCTCTTGAGGCAGTGACTGAGGAGGTGGACATTGGCTAACATGCTGATGTCACTGAAGGCCACACCTTTCAGGGCCAAGGGCAAAGATTTGTTTTATTTCTGCTCCTGCATACAAACTCCCTGATTTGCAAAAGAATTCATATCTG